AGTCTACTAAACTCGCTGTGCAAAAATTCAGTTAAATCTGGTTGAATCTCACTTCTCAAGAATCAAAAGGAACATGCATTCAGCTATGACGTCGTAAGTGAGATTTATCTGAGTTTTCATGTAAAAGGAAAGCAACTAATATGAAGGTAAGGTATAAGTATTTTAGTTAATATTATTACAATTTAGGCGTGCACTATGGTTCCAAAAATAATTTTTATAGACATATAAAAACAGGGCCTTCACAGGACCTTTATATATCAGAGATTACTACTTCGCTGATGCCGTATTGCACTGCGCGTGCCCGAAAAGGGGGCAGATCTAACAACACTCGACTTCACCTTTGACTCGTGACGAGCTTCACCGCTGTTTGTCAATTGGCGAGTGTTGGTTAACACCTTTTTTGTTTTTTTTTTCTCCAAAGACTGGCGTCTCGCAAACAATGCCTCTGATCACGAATGCCGCGACTGCAACGCAATTCTCCGCGGAACTCGGCCGCGATGAGGAAATTCATGGCTCCGTAATTTTGTCTAGCTTTAAATGAACGCTCGAGAGTTGCCGTTGAGGTTAAGTCGTGACTCTTTAATTCATGCAAAAAGAAAAACATGTCGCTGAAGGTAACTTTTCGCATAGTATTCACATTCATCTAATTTTTTTTAAATCCTAAAGTGCATTTCTAGCATGTACATGTTGGCCATACGTGTCTATATATTTATTACGTGGACTGCGCGAATTCTCTTTTTCAATAAATAGCAACAAATAAACGATGATCGATAATGAAGGCAATGAGCAATGAACCGGGCAGAAAGCAATTGAAGTAAAAAATCACCAAGTTTGAATCGCACGTTTTCAAACCAACATGTTTCATTTCATATATCGAACTTTGCATTTATATAGAAAAAGGGAAGACTTGGTAAATGCCACGTTTCGCTCGTTATTGCTGTTTATACAAACGTAACGTTTCCTTTGTTCGTCAGCACAAAAACGAATATCGCAGGTCCATCGACGACTACCAAACTGCGGCACCTGTGCGGCGCAGGATCGGTCTCTATTGGATCCTGGCAGCGTTGAGAATAGCCCTCACTTTTGCCTCGCAGACAGGCTACATTCATCCCGACGAGTTCTTTCAGTCAATCGAAGTTATCTCCGGTACGCGTCCATTCTGCTGGCCAGCTATTACTCCCAGAGTGTCTTGCTTTACGGGCGCGAGAGCTAACAAAGCAGTATAGATTTTAAATTTCAAAGATGTTACAGTTTCGGCACACAGTGCTTTCATCAGCGCAAAGTTAAAATTGACAATTATGTACCAGACGAAATAACTATTTAATTTTCATTTGGACTTTGCGCTGATGAAAGCGCCGTGTGCCGAAACGCGTCCGCTGATTTATATTTCAACTACAACATCTTTGAAATTGAATATATATATTGTTAACTTTCATGCTCGTTAAGATTGGCCTCGTTTGTTTACTCGTTGTTTTCGTTGTATTTTAATTTACACCTAACATTTGTATCTCCTTCCCACAGGAGACCACTTTGACATTGATGTCTACAAGCCCTGGGAGTTCAACGCCACGTTTCCCATACGTTCTATATTCATCCCCCAAGTCGTCGTTGGCTTTCCTTACGCGATTCTCAACAGGCTATCCCCGTACACGTTTCACTTCCTCGATTTGTCACTGAAGAGACCGTATTTCTTCGTGCTCTTCCCCCGGCTTTTCATGTGCGCGCTCTCCTTCCTGTCGGATTACTTTCTGTACAAGATCTGTTGTATATACGGCCAAAACTACAGAGTCAGGCTCGTCACGTACGCTAGCTCCTACGTTATGCTCACCTATGCCACCCGTACGCTGTCCAACTCTATTGAATTGGTGCTGACCGCCGCGCTGTTGTACTTCGTTTCCCGGTGTATGGCGTATTCGGAGAAGGTACGTCCAATTTCCTCAAAGATTACGCGAGACCAATCGACGAAACTCGTCAAACGGGACTTGTTAGGATTTAACGAATCCAGTCTTGTATCAATTTCTGGTATAATTAAGGGATCTTAACATTCGGTCATCTCATTTGTACCTTTAACGTATTGCTTTAACGGTCTTATTGTTTTACGTAAGGTGGTGTGGCAGAGCGATTATCTCTCCGAGAAGTATAGCGAAGCGACGACCACCGTAGATCGAGTCAAGTACTACAAGCTGAGAGCATTGCTGCCCTCGCATTCTCTGAACGACTGCTTCGTGCTGGCTACGATAACGGTAATAGGGATATTCAACAGGCCGACTTTCATCGCGTTCGCCTTCGTTCCCATCTTCTTCTGGCTACAGAGGGGATTGAACTCGAAAAGCGTCGGCTTCAGAGACTTCCACATCAGGATGTTCGTCTTTATTCTCTGCGGACTACCAGCCGCGATGTTTTTCATTCTCGTCGACAGTTTCTACTTCGGGTATCTGACGATGGGGGAGATAGGCCAATTGGAGATTGGAATTAACAATTTTGTGGTGACGCCGGTTAATTTCCTCAAGTACAATGCAAACGTGAAGAATTTGGAAACGCATGGACTGCATCCCCGCTTCCTGCACTTCCTAGTCAACATTCCGCTGCTGTTTAACGTTTTGGGGATTATTGGATTACTGACGCTCGTGAAAATGATACGCAGGTACGTTAACGTCGATTAACACGAGACGCGTAAATGATAATAACATTTCGAATTTCTAGCGGACTGAAGGCACAATGGCTGCATTTACCGCGCCTGCAGAGCATCGTAGGCCTGATGACATTTACGTTCGTCGTTCCAGTCGCCTTGTTGTCTCTCTTTCCTCATCAGGAGCCTCGCTTTATAATCCCGGTACTCTTTCCGCTGGTATTTCTTTATGCACCCGAGCTAAATCAAGTCCCCAGTCTGGATATCGTCCGCAGATATGTCAACGACGACGTAAATAGCGAGACTTGCAGTCCCGTCAAATCCACGGAATACAAGTCCAGAAAATTGATCCTCTGGTACGTCAGCAATCTGCTGCTGGCTCTCTTCTACGCTTTCGCGCATCAGGGCGGAGTTTTGCCGCTCACGTCCTACATCACAACAGAGCTGAAGGCCAAACCTCATCTCACTCATGTGCATCTGTATACCTCGTACAGTTATTCGCTACCCACAGCGTTGCTGCAGCTCCGCAATACCCGCAGGACCTATCGTAGCAGCAGCAATCACAAGTACAAACTGACGCAGGATTTTCACTTGTACGAGCAAGGCTCTAAGCCCTTGCCGTGGGTGTTCAATATTATCGCCAGGAGGATCAGGGATTGCGAGGAGAAATTCGTTGTCAACAAGCTCCCGTACAGACTGTATTACGCATTACCGGCCTCTGCGATAAACGAATTCGCGGAGTTGTCGAGCAATAATTCGCACTTGTTCAGGTTTCATGTAGTCAAGACTTTCTATCCTCACATCTCTGTGGAAAAATTGCCGTCGTTGCATTCACTTGGTGTACTGGGACATTCGTTGAGTTCGTGGAGCGATGGCGTTTTTAGCAGTATCGTCGCGACTGCAAAGAACGTTTATGAATATGTTGAACAATTTAGATTAGTATTGTTAAAAATCGAATACTTAGTGCCTGAATCAAAGCAAAATATACGCAACTAATAAATTTCAAAAGTGGCTAATATAACAACTGAAGAAACTTACGAAATTGCATTCCAAGATGCCATATTTCTAAATGTATATGTTAGTAATAATTATTTATAATATATATTTCTATTAAACGTAAGACAGCTAGTCAAAGAAATTATCAACGCAAAGAAAGAAGAGTAAAATGAACTTGTACAGATAAAAAAATGGCACATTTAGCTTAACCGCTATGCAGTAAAGATAAAAATATATTTAATATTCAAAGAAATGTTAATTAGTAATCAATATTTATAACTTTTTATACAGTTTAATAGAATAAATATTAAATATAAAATTTAAATTTAAATTAATTTAAGTGTAAAATATATTGATAAAACATTTTTTATATTAAGAAATTAACTTCATTTTTAAAAATAAATTCCATTTGAAAAATTCTAAGTCAGATCTTTACGTAAAAATGATATAACATATTTAATAAGCTATACAAGATAAATCTAGTAAATTTTTATATTAACAATTGAGCTAGAGATTGACTTAATTAAATGGCATAATTCCAGGATATAAATTTTGCAATTATGAATAAATCTGTCACTGATATATTACAAACTATTAGATTGTGTAATGTTTAAAGTAAATAAATGTATATTTCCAATGATATGGAGATTTACAGTAAATTAATTAATTAACGATCGATATATAAATACAAAATTTTGCACTTTTATTTTTAATTATTAATACAGCTTCTTTTTGACAAAAGATAATATCTGTGTATAAATACATTTTATTAAAACAACAATTTAAATGTTATTTTATGCAGTATTTTACTACAGCGAAAATACAGATGATAGTGTTATAATACACAAAGGGAAGAACTCTCCTAAGTAAAGGCAAGCAATCTATTCTGCGAGAATCAAGTATTAAGAAGTGGAAGGCGATGAGAATAATTTTCCTTGTTACATATAATTCCTATATGCACAAGATATATAAATTATACAATTTATGATATTTTAAGTAAAAATCAGTAACTAACAAGCATAAATATGTTAAATGAACATAAAATGTTAACTAATAAGTAACTGAAGATTATTTTTAACTTTTTCGTTCGATTTGAGAGCTTAGACTTTGTGTGTATAAACAGAAAAGACAAGTATAATGTATTTAATAAGGTAGATATTTAAGTATCTCTGAATCTGTGATCAAAAGGGTTCTTTTACAAGAAAAACAAGATTGAAGGCGCAAATAAAATCTAAAAAAAAAAGAAATTTACGTCTTCCTCCTCTTACTGCCTTCCCGTCTCTTTTCCTTTTAGAACATTGAAAATTGGAATGAATATTTTTTATTAAAAAACTAAATAGAGTACATACACACAACAAAAATTTAATTGTTCTCCGATAGAATTCGCATGATGCTTAGCCTTAGTATTTTTATTATTATCCCATCTGTCGTGTGATTTTAGTAGGCCTATTATTAGACCGAGATCATTCTCTCGTAAGATAGAATATAGCTAAATATATTTGTATTTAGAAAAATATAATATACATAGTGCACCAGAAAATTTTCAGTGAGGAATATTACATATTTTTATAAAACAACGAAATAGTTGAATTACTGACAAAAGAAACAAAGACTTGGAAATATAACAGTTCTTCTCTTTTTCTATTTACTGAGCGCTGAAATTTTTTCGGAACACTATGTATAATTCTAATCGAGTTAACACGAGGTATTTTTAGTTTGGTTCAACTAATAATTATTAGTGAGGCATTAATAGTGAATTATTTCTCAGTATATTGTTAACATTTTTATAGTTAATTATTTCCAGCAATTTCGATACGTATTTATCTGAGTTTTTCTCTTCTCTCTTTTAAAAGGATAACATTTTTCATTTATGAGAAACTATTAGTTGAGAAATTGTTCTTTGTTCTTATACAGTACACGTATACATGTTTGAATACAGCTTGAGCATTTTACTCAATAAAATTGTTAAAATTAATTTTATTATAGTTTTTGATTTAACTTATTCAAAATTAAAAACGCAAAGATAATTAATATCAATAGACTATCTATAGACTTTAATTACATTGCGACAAATACACTTGTCCCGCAATCTACGCGGAGTATTTGTTCCACATGTTTTTTTATTACATGGTTGAGAACAATGAAGAGTCCATTAGTACGAAATGTGAGAGAAAAATCCGTGTTGTAAAAATATGTATTTTACATATTTGCACAAAAACTACAAATAAAATATTGGAAAAACATTAAAAATTTTTTCTTTGTCGCTGTGAGTACTGTACTTCGAATTACAGTAGTCACTTTTTAATTAGTAAAATAAAGTAATCCTTATCACTAGGAATATTTGGTACTTCTACTTAAGTTTCGTTACAAGTATATCTCTTTTAAAGATATTTTCTGACCGCCTATGAAAAGTATTGCGTAAATGGTGGGACTAGCGTGTATAAAAAATATCGCGTAAATCATGGGATGAGTGTATTCTCAGTTAGCTTATATTTATTAAATTTTTTAGGTGAAATTATTTATTAATTATCTTTCAGATTTTCATCTAGTAACGCATCAAGTTTAAAACCAAATCTTAAAAGACATTTTATATTTTTTGTTATTTAAAATATATTTCTTTGATTATTTAAGGTGTGTTTGTGCTACTTTCGCTATAAGTCCAGGGAAGCTCTTCATTGAACTTGCTTTGATGAGCCGCGTTTCTTGCCGCATATAATCGCTAAAAACACAAGTGTGAAAATTGTTAAAAAAATATATAAATTGTAATTTGAAAGTATTATTTATATTATCTCGAGCCTCAAAATTTTCATTCTTTAAGTATACTTACAGGATTATCGATATAAGCTTCACAACCGTAACACCAGACAGAGATATCGCTGAAGCTGAGCGTGAGGGGATGCTCGTACTCCTCTGCGTGCTGCATCGCGTGTTGATTAACACTGCGTGCGCAATGCACGGTGTAACACTGCAAGCAAATCCAATTCTCTGCGGTGCTGGCACATTCGACACACGGAGCAGTTACATCGATTCCACCCGGAGGAACTTCGTTGACCGTGAACAGATGTGGACAGTCTTGCAGAGGCACGACCGCAAACATTTCTCCCGCCGTCAGAGCCTACATAGAGAAAAAGATATCATTGTATCTGTGTGTATAAAATAGTAAGTATATAATCTAATAGAGAAATCATTGACGAGATAAATATTTTGTATCGCAACAATAAGAGTTTTACCTGAAGATTATCAGAAAGATATTCCGAAAGAGTTGTCGGCCGGGTCTCACGCTGTAGAGATGTTGCCGCTTCTTCGTCATCGCCATCCTCGCGTGTGTTAGAACTTCCTTGCTGGCTGCCTTTTGGTTGGTTCGTTTCGTTCACGCATTTTTGTACACTTTGTGAAACTGCCAATCAAATATATCCTTGGTTAAAGAATACAATAATTATTCTTGTTAAAATTAATCAAAGCATGAATTCGGTACCATCGAGACTTTTCGCTTCGCTCTGCTTCAACTCGGCATTTCTTTCCACCTTGACCGCTTCGCTTTTCATCGCGTGCAAATTTTTAATCTTAATATTCTCCACCTCGCATGTTAGCTTAGAAATCTCCTCGTCCGTCACTAGATTCAAGCAGTTCTTGTCGATCGCCAGATTCAACTCCAGCTTCTCGCTCTCGATTCCCTCCAAGGCGATTTTCGATTCCGTTTGTTTCGATTTATCCGCGTTTCTTCCTTGCTCCTCGAGCTTATTAGGTATTGCCTTAACTTTAGGAAGTAGTTTCTCTTTCGGCAAGGACATTCCATATTGCAAATTGGGCCAGAATTTCTTGTGAGTTTTTAATACGTTATTGATAGAATTGATTGCGCTTGTGCAGGGAACGAGATTAGGATCCAGCATTGGCAAAGGATCGCCCAGGAGGGCCTTGGTACACATAGTCATCGCATGGGAGATGGAGTTGATGTTGTAACCTCCTTCGAGACTTAGAATTACACGACCGTTGGCCAGGGATGAGAGCGCATGGGTTAAATGACCGTAGAGTTCTGGGGTTACGAGACAACCTGAAAAAATAAAAAAGATATTAATAAATATTAGGAGAATTAGATTTTCTTTACAGATTATGAAAATATATTAAAAACATGTTTGATATTAATATATTTTACATTATATACTTATTTAATTTACATGTAAAATAAAAGTTTGTACGCACACACAAAGTTCTTTTACTGTACAAGCGCGTACGTATGTGTAAAACTTTTTATGTACATAAGTTTGTTATATTACTTTTTGAATATTTCAATTAAATGTACAATAATTGATTTAGATATGTGCTAAAATTTACCTCCAAGTGTATCACCATTGCAAGCATCAAATCCAGCCGAAACTAGGACTAGTTCTGGATTAAATTGATAAGCGATGGGCATCACAACTTGCTGGAAAGCCGCTACGTATTCAGCATCTCCCATTCCCTTCTACAGATGTAATAAGAGAAAATGTAGTGTCATTTTAAATCAATTTTAAATCGCACCAAACTTGCAACTATAGATTTTCATATACTGATGTCAAGCAAATGTGTGTAAAGAATATTTCTTAAAACACTACGAATACATGTACTGGTTACTTTGTTCCACGGTATGTTCACGTTGAATCCCTCGCCTGCATTTAAACCAACGCTCGTATAATTAGCGAGCTTGGAATTTGGGAAGAAGCTCCCATTATCATAACGATGAACGGAAACGTAAAGAACCTTTGGATCTTCCTCAAAAATAGATTGCGTCCCATTTCCATGGTGAACATCCCAATCCACTATTAATACCCTATAAAGTATTTACATTATTTTTCTAATCTAATTTATTCTTATTGCTATTCAAAGCCGTAATAAGAGCATAGTGTGTTGTACCTCTTAACATGATGAAATTGTACAGCGTACATCGCGGCCACAGCAATATTATTAAATATACAAAAACCACATGCAATATCTTTTTCAGCATGGTGTCCAGGCGGCCTTACAATAGCCACTCCGGATTGGCACTCCCCATTTAAAACCGCGTCCACTACTTGTAAAAGAGAGCCGGTTGATATACAGGCGCTTGACCACGTTTCAGTATGAAGATAAACGGAGTTGTAATCCGAGGCTTGCTTTTGTAATTCCTTGAGCTTTAAAATCGACGTCTTTTTTATGTCGTCTATGTAGTCTTTTGAATGGACCAAAGATAATTCTTCTATTGTTGCACTCCTTCCCTTTGTGGCACAAAGAAATCACAAATTACATTCTGTTTTTCCTCTATAAGATCTTTATAATTTTCACTGATATCAAGCTAAAAAATTTCGCATTAAACTAAAACTTAAATTTTGTTACAATAAAATAATTATATGCATAACTTAAATAATTTAGGTTATTACATATACATATTTCGTTATACTTGTAATAAATGGCATCGTTCTAATAAGCCATGTTCTTCGTGATTCTTATAAATACTGGAAATGCGACTTGGTTGTTCTGGATGAGAACTGTCGGAAATGTTGGTATGCCTCTGCATCTTTTCATCGTAGACGATACATACTCTATGAGGTGCTTTACGTAAGTTTGTTACTGTAAAAATAATAAATTAATTTTTAATAATAATTAAACAATATAGGTACTACAATCAACTCTTAATAAAACTGTAATTTTATAAATCACAATTTCTTTTTTAATTTCATACATAGTTTTTCTTTTATTATTAATAATCTCTGTAAAAACCTGTTTAAAATCATCTTTAATGTATTCACGTTTTCGATAAGATTAAAGACAGTTCTTATCTTTAATGGAACATAAAAATTTGTTAGATATAACAGAATAAAATTTAATAACAGAATATCAGAATTAATAGAAACTTGCACAAGGTATTACATGTGATACGCAAATAAAGCATATATTGCGATTTATTTAAATATTCCTACACGATTTGCTCGAAATAGAGCAATTTTTTAATACTTACATAGTATTAAATTGTTCAACTTTTTTTCCACAGCTTCTAATGTTTCTTTGCTTTGTATAGGATAGCAATTTCGAGTGTCATACTTGTCTAGTTTAACTTCACTACCTCTGAAACAGGAAGGTAAAGATAATTTGTAAAATATGTTCATAACATTAATCTAATTTAAACAATTAATAAATTATAGATAAAATAAAATAAAAAAGTATAATTAGGGTATGGAACTTATTTTGTTTAAAATAATTTGTCCAAAAACATGCAATTTATTACTTATAATAAAAATTTGTTGAATTGTTATATGTTATTCTAATATACATATGTATATTAGAATAACATATAAACTAGAAAAATGTAGTTTCTTACTTGTACGTAACCATAACTACATGCCGGTTAGCAATCTCCTCTTTATTGTGCGTTACACTATTGATGCTGTGTGTGTCTTGGTATTGATAACATTTCCAGTATGGTTTATGTGCGTAAATCGCATTCAGGATAGTATCACGTATGCTAACAATAACAATAAAGGGCTTCGTAAGACAGAGTAAAGGAGAAGATATTATTCTTAATATCGGAGTACCAAAAATAATGCAATAAATGTATTAGCACTAGATTGTTTACCTCAATGATGGTAAATCAAGTGTTTGCAAAATCGGGCATGGATCGCCTAATAAAGTTCTTAAAGTCAATGCTGCACTTTCCGCTAATGATTTCAGACAATAACCGCCCTATGTATTAGAATATTGAGTTTAATATTTATATGGTACGTAAGAGTAAAGATATAAACATACATTTAGAAGTATATTCTTTTACCTCTAAAACCACGGCGACTTTTCCATTTGCCAGACTTAATAATGACGATAGTAAATGCGAATAACATGCCGGAGTTATCAGCATTTCACCCTGCAGATTAATAAAAAGTTAATAAATTATCAATTTATATTCTAAGATGTATCTTAAATGTTTTATAGCAACAATAGATTATTATAATTTAAATAATATAATAAATATTAGTGGTAAAAGTAACATATTTTAAATCAATATTAATACATAACAAAAATAGTGATATAAATACTAGTGATAAAACAATATTAGTGTTGCCTCATATTCTCTCGATTTTCTGCCTTCTTTCAAATAGAAAAGATATAACACTTAGAAAAATTTCAATTTATATTAAATAAAAGTACTGTTAATAAAAATCAAATACAATAACATGAGTAGCACGCGTAATACATTAACATAATTTAATAAAAGCTATTACAACCTTTTCATCGCCCAATGCGGCATCAAAACCAGCAGAAACAAGGACGAAGTCTGGGCAAAACTAAAGAAGAAAAAGAATAATAAATATGTGCAAATTTACCTCTGGACAACCTAGAGCTGCATCGTAACCAGCTGATACTATTATCAAATCCGGTTGAAACTACAACGTTAATACTTCCATTAAAAGATTAATTATTTTGTTATATTGTTACAGTAAAGTAAGGTCTAATGTATCACGTACTTCGTACGCCATTGGCAATAAAACTTGCTGGAATATTGCAATGTAATCGGCATTAGTCATGCCGGTTTTATTTAAAGGTATATTAAAGTTGTAACCCTCTCCGAGGTCCTCTCCAACATAATGAAAATCAGATTCCCTCAAGTTGGGCCAGAACTCGCCATATTCGTAACGATGTATCGAAAAGTAAACTACACTGTAAAGGAATTTAAGAGCAATTATTACTTATTTCTTGTGGGATAAGTGGAACAATGTGTCGTAAAGAATAAAATAATTAAAAAAAAAAGAAAAGTATAGGCGTACCGTGGGTCATTGTAAAACATTTGTTGCGTCGCTTGCCCATGATGAACATCCCAATCCACAATTAAAATCCTATTCGCCAGACCAGAACTCAAAGCTTTCTCTGCTGCCAAAGCTACATTGTTAAAAAAGCAGTAACCACAGTATTCTGATTTCATTGCATGATGACCAGGCGGTCTGAAAGAATGTTACTATTTGCTATTTTTGTCAAATATTAATTATTACATACATGATCAATATAAATAAAGTTAAATTAATCCAGAATATATTTAACAAATAAAAGTAAATCGCTGAAGGTAAAATCAATCAGATTAAATATATATTAATATTTTGTAAAGATCTTTGTATATTACCTGATAATAGCCATGCCATTTTGTATCTCGTTTTTACAGATACTTTCTACAAGATTGATCGTTGAGCCCACGGCTAGTAAAGACAATCTATACGTAGACTGTAAAAAGTAAAACAGATCTTGAACTGTTACTTAACCGTGAACTGAAAACTGTTACTTATTTGTATCGCTATTTTGATTATTCTCTCTATTAAAAAGAAAAGGTATGGAATTATATCTGTATACATACCGGGTGGATAAAGACACAATCGTACTTGGACGACACCAACTCCAAATTCTCAGTATCCGTAGAGCCGTCCGTCGCCTTTAAAATATCAATCTGCTTCTGACTGTGCTTAGTTAGGAGCTCGTTCTCTGTGGCATGTCTCGGTTCGACGAGTTTACATCTCTGCACCAGGCCCAGCTTCTCGCATCTCTGCAAAACTCGTGTAAATCTGGCTGGACATTCGGGATAATTAGGATCCCAGAGGCACTCGTGCTCGGCCATGCTCCGGTCAAACACGAGGCCAGTCTCCTTTCGTACTGTTTTATACGCATCGATCGACCTCTGATACATATCTGGTATAAAGGTGTTAGATTTCTTGTCGGACAGCTGTCGTTTCGCTGCCTCTTGCTTGGCAGCCAATAACGCTGCGGATGGACGAGCCTGTAAGCCCGTCAATAGGATTATTATAATAATAATTATATAAAGTGTACCACATAGATGAAAAAAATAACATTTGGAAAAAAAGTTGCTCTTAATCATTGTTCAGTGTATTATACGTTCAAACACTTGGATACTTTTACAATGTGTATAATTCTCAAGAATGTGATTGGAGATATACTAACATTTTTTGATTTCCCAGACTTCTTCGTTTTCTTCGCATTCGTGAACATGTTTGCGGCAGTTCTTTGGCACTTGCTGGAATTCTCAATCACTTTTATCAGCTCGATCTCGCTGTCTGCCAATTGTTTAGCAGCAGTGAACAGATCCAGGTTTACTGTAGAGTCAGTCTGTAAAGTTAATGTTAATGAATATCTAATAAGAAACAAGATAAATTACATGCACAATTTAGTGTCATAACAGAAATTTTAAGGTAAAGACAAAGTTGCGGCAGTTGCCAAAAAGAAGGAATAAGACAGACTTGTCTCAATGTTTCTTTGATTTAAAATGTATTTCTAACATCTCTGTTGTGCAGTGATCGGATGATTCTGAGCTCTTTTTAATCAGTGCAAGTCGACAAGGGTAAATTCTAGCGGATGAAGAAAGAGGTAGCCGAACAAACCCGCTGTAATTTTTGTTGAATAAAACTGTAGATTTTCACCAGGATTGATGCTTTTGATATAAAACGCTAAAATCTGTGACAATAAACGTAAGACTTGTTACAACGAAGCTATTGGTCGAAATGCAAGCGGCGAACGCACTATCTGTCCTTGTATGGGTATACGATGTGATATATATAGGTGTACCCCTACCCAAAGTGTGTTATCACATTGTTTTCGAGAGCCAGCGATAAGATAAAAAGATGACCGGGTAGAAAGTTGCTAATAACGACGGGAGTCCTTACCATTTGCTTAATTGGTAAAGTTCAGTGGGTGTCGAAATGATACATCTCAGGTATAAACATTGACTCATCGAGCAACACAGGTTACATATCTGATCGACGTCTCTTCCCGAGAGTTAAAACAAGATTCAAGAACGAAGCGCTTTAAATCCATTCGCGTTACTTCGTCCGCTTCCCTCGGCTTCCTTATTTTTCTTGTTTATATATCCGTCAATATCCTTGTGTATTTATTTCTGACGGAAGGCAGCGGCGTGTGCAACCGATATCAAAGATGGTGCAGGTGCAGGTCTGTTCGTTGGATTTGTACTAATTTGGATTTGAAGTAACGCGCGCCAACTTATTGGCCGCATTCAGCA